ATACACTGTCACTATCTCCTGCCAATCATAGAGTGAGATACACTGTATACACGGTCACTATCTCCTGCCAATCATAGAGTGAGATACACTGTCACTATCTCCTGCCTAGCATATAGTGAGATACACTGTATACACTGTCACTATCTCCTGCCAATCATAGAGTGAGATACACTGTAACTATCTCCTGCCAATCATATAGTGAGATCCGCTATATACACTGTAATTATCTCCTGCCAATCATAGAGTAAGATTGTCAGGACACATATTTTAGGGATAGTCTTTTTTTTTTTTACTTGCAGGGTGTAGTTGCTATGATGACAACCTGCACAACATGTGTTTCTTTGCTTTACCAGTAAGTAGCAAATCTGCGAGTGCTCAGTAATTTTTGTAAGCAGACCTTGTTGGTGGTCAGCCAGTAAAACATACCACTCATTCATTAGTAGACACTAGTAGTTACCTTCTGTTGTTAATAGCGACAGGTTATGGCAGATATTTACCGAGGAGGTTGGAAATGAGCCCCAAGGCTCCTATGGGTTGGTAACCCAGTCTTATGCTTGTTGGGATTGAGGACTGCTCACAATGTGTCATAATGTTACCTTCAGTGACTCCTTTAGGTCCTTCACCAGGAAGAGGTTGCGGAGTGTGCTAAGTGTGCAACAGCAGTGATTAATAACACGAGCAGCGAGGGCCTGCAACTGTGGTGCCGGGAGCATGAGGTCAATGTCCAGATAATACCTAACGAAGAACAAAGCACACTGTTATAATACCGCACTGTATCTATTACACACACTATCATAATACTGCACTGTACCTAAAACACACGCACTGTTATAATACCGCACTGTACCTATTAAAGACACGGTTTTAATACTGCACTGTACTTATTAAACACACTGACACTGTTATAATACTGCACTGTACCTATTACACACACTGTTATAATACAGCACTGTACCTATTACACACATTGTTATAATACAGTACTGTACCTATTACATACACTGTTATAATGCCGCACTGTACCTAAAACACACACACTGTTATAATACCGCACTGTACCTATTAAAGACACTGTTATAATACTGCACTGTACTTATTACACACACTTCTATAATACTGCACTATCATTTTTTTTGTAATTGTCCTATTTATTGTTACATCCCCCCTCTCAAAATATTGTAAAGCGCTACGGAATCTGTTGATGCTATATAAATGGCAATAATAATAATAATAATAATAATATTACATACACTGTTATAATGCCGCACTGTACCTATTACACACACTGTTATAATGCTGCACTGTACCTATAACACACACTGTTATAATGACGCACTGTACCAATTACACACACTGTTATAATACCGCACTGTACCTATTACATACACTGTTATAATGCTGCACTGTACCTATTACACACACTGTTATAATACCGCACTGTACCTATTACACACACTTCTATAATACTGAACTGTACCTATTACACACTCTGTTATGTTACTGCACTGTACCTATTACACACTCTGTTATGTTACTGCACTGTACCTAAAACACACGCACTCTATTCCTAGGGGTGTGAGAGACCTAACACGATTTGAACAGTTATGTTCCACACACCCAATCCCAAAAAAGATTCTATCTACCATGTACAAACTAGCTCAAGAGTCTCAGGATCCTGGACTCCCTAAATGCACTACAAAGTGGTCAGGAGAACTCCAAATAGACATCTCACAACAACAATGGCATTCTATTTTACATATAGCTCACAAGTCGTCCTCCTCTACTACAGCCCAAGAAAGTAACTATAAGCGCATCACCAGATGGCACTACACTCCAGCGTTAATTCGCAAGATACACAGTACAAACACTGACAGCTGTTGGAGATGTCAGCATACAGAAGCCCATCACTCACACATATGGTGGCAATGCCCACGAATAGCAAAGTTCTGGAATAGAATACACGTTCTAATACAGACGATTATCAAAAATAAAATCCCTTTTAAACCTCAACACTTCATATTAATGCTCCCTCCCCAGGGTCTCAGAAGGAGGGAAACAGTTCGATTCAATCACCTGGTTATGGCAGCAGCACAACTCATACCCAAATACTGGAAACAAGCACAGATCCCATCAATTAGGGAATGGATATTGAGAGTAGACGACACTAAACAGTTAGAGGAACTAACATATGCCAAATCAAAAAACTAAAAAATTCTCCCACATCTGGGAACCCTGGAACAACTTTCTAAAATCGAGCCTACAACGAGTAGCCGAGACATTAGATCCAGTTGAATCCATTAGGACCTACTTGGACCTCTACATACCCTAGACACATGTCCCAGATCTTGTAGATCACAGAAGTAACTAGGGCCCGAACTTATCAATCCTGAGACCAAAACCTAATCCCCCTACCCCACACAGAAACCGTCTCAGATCTTATTATTAGGGAACACAAATACAATGGACTGTTTCCAACTATGACGATTGTTTCAGTTTAACCCAAATGTACTGGTATCAACTCCAATCTGTATACTCTCTTTAGTAAGTGTACTTACATAAAAATGCTTTATCCTGTAACGAAACGTTACATATTTTCAATGTCTGCAAACCAAGCACTCCACTTATTCTGTTTAAATCATTTTTGTTAAAACAACAGTGTTATGTTATATGGTGTAACCTTGCACAATTTCAATGTCTTTACATTTAATATTGTACTTCTACATGTTTATGAAAAATAATTTTTTAAAATAATAATAAAAAACACACGCACTGTTATAATACTGCACTATACCTATTAAAGACACTATTATAATACTGCACTGTACCCATTACATACATTGTTAAAAAGCTGCACTGTACCCATTACACACACTGTTATAATGCTGCACTGTACCTATTACACACACTTCTATAATACCGCAATGCACCTATTACATACACTGTTATAATGCCGCACTGTTCCCATAATACACACTGTTATAATGCCGCACTGTACCCATTACACACACTGTTATAATACCGCACTGTACCTATTACAGACACTGTTATAATACTGCACTGTACCCATTATGCACACTGTTAAATAAACATGGCAGGACATTTCTTTAACCTGTAAGAACAATTTTATTCTGATTATCTGTTCTGTACTAGAGCTGTTGGAACACTTTGCCTACCTTGGGCCTTGCAGCTGTTGTGACAAATGTAGTTGGGAGCAGCTGCAATGCTCAGAGTCAGACATCCCTTAGCTGGAACATCCTGCCACACATTGCATGCACACTAATACCAATATACCACTCACTGGAAGGGGTTGGCTCCATTCCCTCTCCTAAGCTTGTGTAGGAACTTATTGTATATCCGTAACGTGAGGGTGGCACTCAGGAAAATGAGACACCCGTATGAAACCACACTGATCACACTGAATTGGATGAGGCACAGCAGGGAGAGGGTTAACCCGGTGAGACAGGCAGCAGAGAGCAAGGTGTCTCTCCAATACAGGAGGTCTTTAACTGGAAAAGAAAGCGTATTGAGGCATTATTTTAAAAAGCACAGCAAGACAGAAAAACAGTAGCAACAGATTAGAGAAAATTAGGTTTAACGGCTCATAAATAGAATGGTAATGGATAGAGGTATATTGGGTGTCATATCGGATTACAGAACGCATTATATAAAATAATTCAGATTATTACCTCTACAAGATAACATGGGTTGTGCATGTATCTATGTGTTGCAGTTGTTAGGGCTATTTACTAAAATGAGAATTCAAATTTAAGGCCAGAGTAGCCTCACTGAAAGTATAGCTAACTAAGAGAATTGCTCCAGTGCGGCTATTTTGATCTTAAAGGACCGCTTAATGAAGTGGTCTGGGTGCCAGGTCCATCTAGGTTTAACACTTTTTGCTGTAAACATAGCAGTTTCAGAGAAACTGCTATGTTTACAAATGGGTTAATCCAGCCTCTAGTGGCTGTCTCATTGACAGCCGCTAGAGGCGCTTCCGCGCTTCTCACTATGAAAATCACAGTGAGAAGATACCAGCGTCCATAGGAAAGCATTGAGAATGCTTTCCTATGGACTGGTTGAATGCGCGCGTGGCTCATGCCGTGCATGCGCATTCAACCGATGCCGGCGAAAAGGAGGAGGAGAGTTCCCCGCGCTGAGGTACTCTCTAAAACAGGTAAGATTTAACCCCTTCCACCCCCTAGAGCCCGGCCCAGAGTGTGGGGGGGACCTATAGACCCTATAGTACTAGGAAAACGAGTATGTTTTCCTGGCACTATAGTGGTCCTTTAAATTTGAAATTCACTTTTAATTCTCACTTTAGTAAATTAACCTGTGTGTCTTTAAGGTAAAAGCAGAAGCAATCTTTTCCCATACTTTCTTCTCTATGCTAACAGGCTCAGAAGCTTATATAACTTAAAGGGATTCTATAGTGTAATGAAAACAAAGCCGTTCTCCTGGCACCATAGGTTCCTACAGTGCCCTCATTCCTCCCCTCCTGCAGCACTAAAGGGTTTAAAACCCCTTTAGTCACTTACCTGAATCCAGCGCCGATGTCCACCGGCGTTTGGTTAGGCTCCGTCCATGCTCTTCCCCCGCCGACCTAATGCACATGCGCAGCAATGGCCACACTGGCATTAGGATTTCTCCAGAAGAAAGCATTATTTAATGCTTTCCTATGGGGATTCTGGTTACGCTGGAAGTCCTCATGCATAGTATGAGGACGTCCAGCGTCATTTAGACAACCAAAAGTCGTCTAAGTACCCGGAAGTCACACTAGTGGCCGTCTATTAGAGAAGGAGTTAACCCTGCAAGGTAATTATTGCAGTGTCTCAGAAACTGCAATAATTACCACTGTAGGGTTAACGTACATTGCAACAAGACCACTTCAATGAGCTGAAGTGGTCTGGGTGCCTACAGTGTCCCTCTAAATGAACAATTTTGTGTTAAAGTGTCCTTCTTGCAGAGCCACTAGAGGCAGTCTTATACCTGCAATGTAAACATTGCAGTTTTTCTAAAACTGCAGTGTTTTGTATTGCAAAGATATAATGATAGGGACACTGTACCCAGACTACTTCAATGAGATGAAGTGGTCTGGGTGCCTTTAGTGTCCCTATATGAGGAAACTCCAGACTCCTAGAGCTCTTTATCTTGCTTAAGTGCTTTATGTCTGAAGAGTGTGTCCTCTTTTTTTTCATTTCACAAAAAGTGTAGATTTAAATATATAAAATATATTTTTTTATAAATTAACCCTGTTACATCCCCTGGCTGTCAATCAGACATCCCGTCATGTTACTTCCTGATTTGGTTAGCTCAGTGAAACTAAACTAAAGAGGAAGCAATTGCCCAGAGCACCTGCCTTGCAAAGACTTCTCATTGATGTGCATTGGGAAGTCTGTGATTGGACAGACACAGAATGTCTAGGGAGGGTTAGAAGGGGAGGGCTAACAAAGGCATCAGACAAGAGATCTGCAGGTTTTCCAAACTATCTTTAGATATAACCCCAATGAAAAAATGCATAATGAATTTGCATGCATGTTTTCATTGGGGGTATAGCGTTAAATTAATTAATTTATTGTATTTGGGCAGTGGAGTGTCCCTTTAATGCTGGTTGAGTAACAAGGAATCACAAGACTAAAACCACAAGCATGCTGAAAGTTGCCAATAACAGATCCTTGCCATTTCAGATTACAATGACGCCAGCTCATAATCATTGTGGATCTTGGAATAACTCACTGGTTTATTCACACGGGTATTATGGGACTGGCAGGCGAATTGCAACATTTAGGCTATAGTAGATGAGTTTGTTAAAAAGTTTAGTTATGCAACTAAAATGTAATTTATTGTAAATCATTTTATCAAGTTAAATTGTTTACATACAGATTAAGGTTTGAAAATGAAGTCTTGCAATATGAAGAAAAGCTCTCTTGCTCAAGATAAATAAAGCAGGACAATGATCCACAAATTCGCTAACTTATTTTCAAAAAAGATACACAACTACCTCATTTTTTTCTAAAAAGTATGGCGAGAACAAACATAATGTGTAATAGCTAGATCAGATGAAAGCAATTAGTTGAAATGAACAACACTACGCACTATAATTGGATAGATCAAATATAAACTGAATAGAACAGAATAAAACAGAAAGAGGTAACTCCCCAGGGTTGCCAGGAAGCGCACTCTGCAGGCATAGAAAGCTGCTGATGCAGAGAGGACTGTTCAGCCCAATAGTACTCTCGTACTCCACTCCTCCAGGCCCAGATTCTTACAGGAACATAACTTCCACTGACATCTGCCCCAAGATGACCCATTTACAGTCCCCAAGAAGTCCAACATTGTAGAGATCTTCCAGGTGTTGTGGAATGTGAACCCTGTTTGGGTTCATGGCCCAGATAGAGTGCAGTGGGCCAAGGCACTGCCTGTATCCGACTCATTGGCAGGTGATGTGAGTAGTGGTTCACATCTGGGTATGCGTTGACAAAACCGCTCGCATACAGCATCAAATGCCGACTAGAATGAGTCTTTCCAGTCGTGAAGTGAGGCCTCCGCTTGCAGGGGAAATGTAGCTGGAGAGAAGGCCATGTTAACGGAGTTGTGTAGCCCGATTGCCTTAGTAGAAGGGTATGTAACAAGTAGGTAAGCTTAAGAACCAGCAGCACCGATGGGGCCCGGCATAACCTCCACTGGCCCAAAGAAGGAGCCACAAATAGAGCCTCAAAGATCAGACCTCTTCAGGCCAGGAGATCAGTCGTGTCTGAGCTCGCCAGCCAGACTATTATTATTACAGCCATTCATATAGCGCCAACAGATTCCATAGCGCTTTACAATATTATAAGAGGGGGGATTTAACTATAAATGAACAATTTTGTGTTAAAGTGTCCTTCTATAAGAAAACTTACAGGAAAAATAGTTTGAAGCCGCAATCCCTCAAGTTCTCTCCTCTCAGGGTAGCAAAATGCGAATATAATCTGTTCCTTAATAGCCACCAGCCAGAGTACAAAATTAGGGTATTTGAAATCAAACTATAGCGTAAAGAGCGATAAATTGTAGGTGCTGTAGTCAAATGCTTCCCTCCAGTATGGCTGCTAAGTCCCGCCCCCACTAAAATATAATTTACAGCAAGCACAATGTATCTTATTTACACAGACTGATTTCTAAACACATTTATTATAGTTTGAAAACACATTACTGGGAGTCACCTAAGCAGGCACTTTGGGACTTTAGTGTCAGGGATACATGTTTGTCTTCCTGACACTATTGTGTTCCTTTAAACATTATTATAGTTGCTTTGTGATTTGTAATACTGAAAGGCAGATAACGAAAGACATTGAAAACTGGTGCAAAATCTTGCGTTTTCTAGAAAGTTATTCCACAGTTACACATCTCTACATGAAAAGGTTATATGGCCCAATTCCTTGTAAAGTAGACTGCGGGTTATAAGGGTGTGATGGGCCTAATGCTTAGGAAGTGTATTTTGTAGAGGTGTGGGAGGCTGCATACACTTATCAGGTACGGTGTATGAGTAACAGGAAGTAACATGTTGGTCAGGTAGTGTGAGTTGCAGGATGTGTTGGGCAGTGAGCTGCAGTGAGCATGCTGCTCAAGTTGTGTGGGGCAGTGAGCTGGGGTAGAGGAGTCTGAATTGGGTCATAAAGGTAAAAGTTTTTTTTCATTTTGCACAACAAAATAGCACTTTATTTAACATACAGGCAGGGGATTTGTGTGGGGAGCAGCGGTTTGTAGAGAGGGGGCAGGGATTTGTAGAGGGGGACAGGGGATTTGTGGGGGAAGCAGCAGTTTGTAGAGAGGGGTGCAGGGATTTGTAGAGGGTGACAGGGGTTTGTGGGGGAGCAAGAGTTTGTAGAGGGGGGACAGGGACTTTGTGGTGGGAGCAGTAGTTTGTAGAGGGGTAGAGGTTTGTAGGTGGGGAAGGGTTTGTAGGCTGAGGCGGGGGGTTTTGTAGTAGGGGGGCAGGGCATGGGGTGGCAGATTGTGAACTAAATAAACACATATGCTTACATTTATTTTCATTCTCAATGTATTTTGACATAAATATATCTATTAATATCAAAATACACAGTATATGTATATATATATATATATTCTTGAAACCATTTTAAAGGGGGGTGGTGCCAAACGCAGAATCCGCCCCGGGTGCCAAATACTCTAGGTATGGCCCTGCTTCACTTCTCCTCTTCTCTGTAATTTTGTTCTGTTGGTATGTTGACTGCCAGGTACAAAGGACAGAGCTTATAACAATGACTGACAGGGAGCTAAGATGGAGGATTTCTACATTTAAGTTTATTTTTCACACCTCACAGATGCATACTTGTTAAATATAGGGATAAATAAACATAATATTAAAATCCTAGGAAGTGACAATTTCCCTTTAAATATCCACATACTTGCTACAAATCCATTGTCACACCATTAGATCAATAAACATTAAACATTCTAAGGACTTGATTTAGTATGTATGATTCTAGACAGTGACCAGGGAACAGGATGAAAGTTATAGGAACAGACTTTTGACATATAGCATCATATTGGAATTACTGCCCAGTGATTTTGTGTTAACTGGACCCAAATTGCTGGGGAATTCACAGCACTGTGATACAATACATATCTGTGACGATACAAACAAAGTCTCACCAGATAGAGACTGAACAAAATCATTATGGAAGCACGCTGGATCAAAACATCCAGGGTTTAGGAGGTCTGATTATGGGATAAAGGATGGGTTTAATGGCCCAAGAACAAAGCATGTAGGCTTAGTGTTATGTGATGCCAGCTGTGGCACATGATATTGTGTGAATCTTTGTCTGGGCATTTTACATTGTGTTCAGATAAGTTGTGAGCTCTTTATATTGTGTTAATCTTAGTGTTGGTGCTTAGTATAAAGTCAAGCTATGTGAGGTTATATGTAGCTAACTGTACACACCTTGTATTGTATGTAGCTAACCGTTGGTGTATCATTTTGTTTGAGTATGGATGCTAGGTGTGTTTATTTTATACTGTGTGAAGCTTAGTGTTTGCACCTAATATTGTGTGAAGTTAGGTACAGGCTTGGCCTTTACAGTGAACTAAGTGGGGGCACCAGCTGTTGTGTTAATGGGTCAGTCTGAGTGCCCACCCTGAACCACTTAGATCATTCATTCTCACAACTCATTTCTTTTCATTTTCATAATTAAATAACTTTCTGTCTGCATCCCTAGCCACACCTCACATGGCTGTCAATCACACAGCCTTCCTACTCTTCCTGAAAAGATAGATCTATTTTGTCAAAGTATTACCTACATTATCAGTGTTTACATTAGGATATGCAGGATAGGTTACAGATTTTCCTATCTCCCTGCTGAAGAAGTGTTCACAACCCTGTTAATTACCTGCTAATGCTGGCAGAAAGGCTGGCAGAAATTGGCTCTTTCCAGCAGACTACTGTGAAATAAGACAAGGATCTCACAAGAAGACAAAAAAAAACCATCAAAGGCTGCAGACATCATTTAAAGACGCTGACTGTGAGTAATTTATTTTGTAAACATATAATATCCAGTACTAAATGATTTTATTTTTTATTGGACTATATACAAGCACGTGTATAAATATATATACATATATATATATATATATATATATATATATTACTATTATTATTTTTATTTACTTTTTTTCTAATATGTATTTCATGTATGTTTTCACAGTAAAGTGTGTTTATGCTATATTTACAAAGTTGTGTTTTGAGTAAAAAGTGTTCAGTACGGCGGAATATGTAATAATAATAATATTATAATAATAATAATAATAATAATATAATAATCCACAATGCTTTTCTAGGAGAAGCATTTATTCTTCCAGCAAAAACAAAGAAGTTTGTGCTGGGCAAAAAGGAGGTAGATGATAAATCAGCTCAGCAGCAGAAACAAGTTCTGCAACTAAGAAAAGGTAGGATTTAGGCTCATGGATTGCAGGATAAAACTTACCAGGAAAGGTTAAAGGATCTTAACATGTATAGCTTGGAGGAAAGACGAGACAGGGGGGGATATGATAGAAACATTTAAATATATAAAGGGAATCAACACAGTAAAGGAGGAGACCATATTTGAAAGAAGAAAAACTACTACAACAAGAGGACATAGTCTTCAATTAGAGGGGCAAAGGTTTAAAATTAATATCAGGAAGTATTACTTTACTGAGAGGGTAGTGGATGCATGGAATAGCCTTCCAGCTGAAGTGGTAGAGGTTAACACAGTAAAGGAGTTTAAGCATGTGTGAGATAGGCATAAGGCTATCCTAACTATAAGATAAGGCTAGGGACTAATGAAAGTATTTAGAAAATCGGGCAGACTAGATGGGCCGAATGGTTCTTATCTGCTGTCACATTCCATGTTTCTAGGATGATAGGGATTTTAAAAAACAAAAAAAATGATTTTTTTTTAAAATTGCATTGTATGAATACCTTAAAATGTATGCATTTTGTAATTTAGACATTATTCTAAGTGTACCAAGTGGCCATTGTGTGAAGCTAGGCAATGTCTTGGTCACTGCATTGATCTATGTGTAGATACTGGGTACTGTGTAAACTGAGGTGAGTGTTTAGACATTGTGTTAATTTACATGTGGTTCCTGGCCATTGTGTTAGGTTAGGCATTGATCTGGCATTGTGTGAAGCTGGGTGTGGGCTTGGCCATCGCCTTGAGCTACATGTGGGTACTTGCCATTGAGTTGAGTTGTATTGAGCTCTGTAAATGGCGGAAAATGAAATGTCTTCACTATGTGGAATATTCAGAACTGGAAACAGGTGGAACAACGTGTAAATGGTCAAGTGACCTCAGAAATACCACAAGATAGAGTGTTCAGACCAAATGTGTTTTATTACCAAATTCTCTGGCCTGAGTGTGGGGTGATTTAGTCAATCTCAGGGAGATAACCCTACTGGGTCTCCCTCAGCTCTGGATGTAGATTTAGATAATTATTATGATTTTTAACTAATTAAGTTTCTCTAGTAATGAAGGTACAGCCATTGCGATTCCCGATCTCCTGGCTAACTCTCTCTCTGAAAATCAGAGGTGATAAAGCTTGGACAGGTTTAGAGAGATTCAGACTTACTGGATTGTATGCCCATTCCTTGTTTAGGGAGTTTACCGGAATAGCTAACCAATAACATGGATTATAAAGGATTACTGAATCCAAGGAATATAGGCATTTTTAATTATATAAAAATACTGTGTACCAGGAATATAAACATTTCCCAGAATTATAAAGTCCAAGTGATAAATAATATCATGAAAGCAGAATATCTATAATAAAAAATCTCTGAAATACACAATACAGTGTCTTGGATAAACAGGTAATCCAGGTAGTAGGGAGTACACATCCTCCGAAATATAAAATCCTGGGAATACATTTAGTGAAATGTAAAATCACAGGAATTCAGAATCCCAGATCTCATTATCCAAGGAATGAATAATACAAAATCCCAAATTACAGGACAACCGAATGCCAGAATACAAAGGGTATATAATCCCAGATCGAATCATCAAGGAATGAATAATACAAAATCCCAAATTACAGGACAACAGAATGCCAGAATACAAAGGGTATATAATCCCAGATCGAATCATCAAGGAATGAATAATACATAATCCTAAATAGCAGGAAAACAGAATACAGAATATCAGGAATATATAATCCCAGATCACCAAGGAATACTTAAAATCAGGAATCCAGAATCCCAAATCACAGGAATACAAGCACCCAATTGTAGGACAAACGGTATTTCTAGAATACAACCTCAAAATTCCCAGTGATACAAAATGCCAGGAATATAAAGATACATTCCCAAATCAAAGGAACATATAGTCTTAAATCCAAGGAACATATAATCGTAAATCCATGGAACATATCATCGTAATTCCAAGGAGCATATAATCGTAAATCCATGGAACATATCATCGTAATTCCAAGGAGCATATAATCGTAAATCCATGGAACATATCATCGTAATTCCAAGGAGCATATAATCGTAAATCCATGGAACATATCATCGTAATTCCAAGGAGCATATAATCGTAAATCCATGGAACATATCATCGTAATTCCAAGGAACATATCATCGTAAATCCAAGGAACATATCATCGTAAATCCATGGAACATGTAATCTTGAATCAATGGAATATATAGTCCCAAATCCAAGGAACATATAATCGTAAATCCATGGAATATATAATCCCAAATCCAAGAAACCAAGAATCCTAAATGCAAAGAATACATAGTCCCAAATCCAGGGAATAAAGTGTCAGAAATGCAGTTATAACATAATTCCAAATGATACGGGATTATAGGATTGCTAATCTATGTAATGACAGATGGCACTGTATAAGAATTAAATATAGAATATTAGACAGATATCAGAAAATAAGCATTTTATTTCTAATCCAGTTATACTGTGAGATCTCCAGCTCCCTCGCACACAGTGGGGTTATTTTGGGTCTATGAAGGGTCTGTCTCATCTTTCTAATGACAGCTGCATGTGCATGCTACCCCCTCACCCTCTCTCTGTCCCTCTACCTCTGCCATTTAAACCACTTTATGACTGCCTGAGTCCATTTCTCAGTCTCGCTATCTCTGCCTTTTTGCTGGCCTCTATCTCCTTCTATCTATCCTTGGGTTCTACCTTTGCTTCAATGTATCCGCCTAGCTTCACCTCCCAGTCCCACTTACTAGTTTTCTTCATGGTGCCGTCCTCTCAGCCTCCGGTAACTAGATCCTTAACACTGGTCCTGGGTGACTAGTAACTGTCTCCGAGACATGCTCCCTCCATGTGTGACTGAGATGGACAAGTCAGCTATATATAGGCACGGATGGACTGCCCCCAATTTCCTCTATATACAGTATATCCCCATGGGTGTCAAAATATACATACACAATGTATGTATGTATGTATATATATTTAGAAAAAAATAACTAAAAATTAAAAAAAAAATTAAAAATGTTTTATAGATAGATACATTATTATTATTATTTTATTTTTTGTTCAAGGTAACATTAAATTTTGCTTTGCGATTGAGCTAAACTTGTACTAAAGTCACTTGTCACCTAAGTCCAATTACAAAAGTTTGGGCCTCTGTCTGGCAGTCTCTGCATTATTTCCCAAGGTCTTGATTCTCCATCCCCCAGGGATGTCCCCAGCAAGTACAGTATGAGAGCCTCATTAAATGGGCTAAAGGTGTGCAACTTGTGACCTGGGAGGCAAAACAGTTTGATTGTCCAAGGTGCAATTTTACCAACCAACCCATTAACATCAGTAAGAGACACAAGTACACAAACAAAATAGATGTGTTGATAGACGGAATTGAAAGAATTAAAGGGCTATGCACTTTGGCATTTAGGTGTGAAAAGTGGTTAGAGAGCAGTCCGGGGAGAAATTGCCCTGCCGAGTTAACACTTGGACATCACTAATCAATAAAGGCGATCTCCCGAACCAGGCAATTATTTAGTAAACATAGTTCTGAAGGATTTCACTGCAAGGGAATGCTGTTAAAGTGTTAAATTTATTAACCTTGTATTTCAGGCCAATGAGCAGTAAATGCATAATCTTGATATATCATGACAATAAACATTACATGCATAAACTTGGTATATCATGCCAAAGCACAGTAAATGCATAAACCCAAGTATCTCATGCCAAAGAGCAGCAAATTCATAAAATTTGTGTCATGCCAATGAGCCATATGTGTCTCCAAAAATCCTGCCCCAAACAAGCTGCCTGTGCCACCTAACTGCCACCAGCCTCTCTGTGCACCTATCTGCCACTAGACCGTCTGTGCCACCTCTCTGCCACAAGCCACCTCTCTGCCACTAGCCTCTCTGTGCACCTATCTGCCACTAGACCACCTTTAAATGCCACCTCTCTGCCACTAGCCACTTTATTTCATGTGTCAGTTCCTGTACTGTGAAAATAAATGTCTATTAAATGATCTAAACAAGTTTCATTTATGAATTCTTTTATATCACATATGCCATACACCACCTTTGCGTCCACAGCTTTACGTCTTCTTATTTTGCTATACATTATTAAAGCTGTAACATAGCATACAGTAGGAGCTATAAATGGTGAGAAATTATTGGCCAACAGTCTAGGAGTGAGGCACTCAGCAAGAACATTATATTGGTTTCCATGGTAACTAATTTTAGCAAATTACCCCAGAACTGCCACAATCAGAACAGTTACAAGGGGTCTTGGTGACAATGTTTATGTATGCTGGTGGTCTGTCGCCAGTTCTGAAACGAGGAGACCAGTAAACAAGGATGCAGTAGAGGAGGCAAGAAATAGTCTGATTACTGTAATAGATTGGGGAATGTAGAAGGTTGAGAATGGAATACTGATTTATCCTAATACAAAGAATACTAACTGTGGTTCTGTTTAACTCCACATATTAAATCCTCCCAAAGACAAACAGAGGAGGTGGTTTGGTAAATAGTTGTGCTTAAAATTCGTATTTGGCAAGGCTGGGTTTGTTTAGATATACAGAAGAGGTTGTCACGTGTCACCTCGAAATGGGGAAGTAATGAACTAATTTGCATTCATCACAGAGTGTGAGGTATAAGAAACCAATTCCAGTGACAAAACCTACAGTATTCTGCTGAGCTTTATATGCATGGTGAAGCAATAGAAACAGAGCAACATGCTTATTGATTAGGTAAAATTATACCCATTCTCAATTCAATTCAATGGAAAGGAAGCCATTTAACTGCATTACCGAAATACAGCTGCATCAATGGAATACTTCTAATATTACGATCAAGGAAATCTTGGATGCTAAGTCTTGTATTGGGTAGAAATGAATGCACAAATTATCGATCCAGACATCTCCCGTGACAGATTTCTACTAATGAGGTCTTGCGTAATAGGAATTCATAGGCTTTCTGCTAGGGCTCGGAGGTTTGTGGTCATAGGCGTGCACAGTCTATTGCATTAGGGTGTGCGCCCTAAAGCACAAACACACGCCGTGCGTATATGTATGTGTGGCGGAACCAACCCCGCCACTGGACGTTGGAGAAGCTTGTTTGCTTGCCTACTGCCACTGGACTATGGCCCCATGTAAAAAAAACTTCTATTTTCCCTGCAGAAAGGCTTAATCGTGCCTTTCTGCCTGGGCGGTCAGTAGATTGAATCTACCGAACAAACTACCGAATGATCGACCACCTGGAAACTGGAGCTTGCCATTAATTGACCTCCCAGAAGCTGCGGTTAACCGCAGCTTAATTGACGAACGCTTGGGGGGCCTTTGTTCGTTTGCTGAACACGTGGCAGCAGCCATTTTAAACCCTCGAACAGCCAGCAGTGTTCAGCTCCAAAACTATGGAACTCCAAACGGACACTTATTTGCACGAACACCGCTGAGCCGCCAGCCTCCCTGCTTCTGCATTCGGTCATTTAACGAAACGCCGGTTCATTTGGTAGTTTAACCGTATGAACAGCATTACCCCAGATAGCTATGCCATGGAGCCTATTCGTGTAACAAAAGACTATGGGAAAGACTTTGGCTCCATGGTGATTGAACTGTATGTGTGTGATCTGAGCACCATTCAGTAATAATGTGCGCTCAGATCTGAGCTATCTGGGGATAGGTAGAATGTATATGTTTTATTCAGTATTGGTAACAGTATGTATTTTTATGTCTTTTTACTAAAAACGTGTGTAATGGAGTTTTGCCTCTGTCCTTAGAGATAATTGGATTACTTCCCAATTATCTCCAGGACAGAGAGGAGGGGTTGTGATGCATTGTGGGATTGTTTAAATGTGTAAGCTTGTGATTGGTCCGTTTACCCTTTGTATCCCAGTCTTCCATGCAGGGGCGTGTCCCCTAGGGGAGTGTCCACCAGGTGGAAGACATGCATAAAAGCCGGGCAGGTAGCCCCAGTAAATCAGTTCTGCTTGACCCTCAAACGAAGTGTCATCTCGTTCTTGGGGGGAATTGGATTGTATGCTGTTACAGTGTGACTGCCAGGAGTGTAAGCTGTTCGTATGGTTTTTCCTGTTTGGCTGTTTAACAGCATTCGTGTGTTTCCTGTTCGGGAGTTGGAGGATTCGTATGGTTCCAGTTCGGGAGTTGGAGAATTTGTGTGTTTGCAGTTCGGGAGATTGGTGATTGCAGTAGCTGCCTGTGCATCTGAAAGGGGAATATCTTCTAAACGGTTTTTAACCTCTTGGGTGCAAAACGTCTCGTTACAGTATGTATATATATATATATATATATATATACATATATACACACACACATACATACACTGCTGTGTGTGTAAGGGTGCTGTGTGTGTGTAAGGGTGCTGTGTGTGAGGGTGCTGTTAGTGTGATATGTGGGTGAGGGTGTTTGTGAGGGTACTGTTTGTGTGTGAGGGTGCTGTTTGTGTGCCGTGTGTGATGGTGCTGGTAGTATGCTGTGTGTGTGTGTGTGTGTGTTTGTTAGGGTCCTGTTAGTGTCATGTGTGTGGGAGCTGTGTGTGTGAGGGTGCTGTTAGTGTGCTGTGTGGGTGCTGTTTGTGTGCTGTATGTGTGTAGGTGTTGTTTGTGTGGGTGCTGTATGTGTGTGGGTGCTGTGTGAATGTGGATGCTGTGTGAGTGTGGGTGCTATGTGTGTGGGTGCGCTGTATGTTTGGGTGATTGTGGGAGTGGGGGTAGGGGCAGATCAGTTAATATTCCTCCTCCCTTGTTACCTTATGTAGGGAGGGAGGATCCTTGTTGCTGTTGCCATCCCTGGTGGTCCATTGGAGAGTGAACTCTAGCCTGCAAGGCTAGAGTTCACTCTTGCGAGATCTGAGCGTTGCTGCGGCAACTCTCAGATCTCGCGAGAGGAACCCGGCAGAACTGGCTAGAGCTCTTTGGGTTCTCTCCTGCCTCCCTCCATGCTGCTGTGGGCTGGTGAGGGAGATATTTGATCTCACCACCAGCTCTTGGAGGCATAGAGCAGAGCCGGCGCTCGGATAGCGCCGGCTCTGCATGAGCCGACAGGGGACATCCTGAGATCTCCCCTGCCGGTCTCAAAACATAGGCATGCTGCAGGGATTAGGGTGTGCCCAGGCACACCCGGCACACCCCGTGCGCACGCCTATGCTTGTGGTGTAGTTTAGCTATGGGTGATCTACAGTGGGATCTAGTTCAATCATGTGAATTCATGATTTCGTCTTTCTCACCAATAGCTCAGTTGTTTCCATCATAGTCCTCTGGATGGACCAGTTATCCAGAATTGGTTAGAATTCCCAATGGACTGGAATTGGAATGTACCTAAATCCTGGACTGTCAGTGTGCCATGACGACTGGGTGGGGAACCGTTATCCAGGAGTGAATGTCTATTTGCCAGAACTAAATTTTGACTCCCCAATGGCTAGTAGCACGAAGAAATTGTGAGCCTTGAACTGCCATATAATAATATCAAAGAGCGAGCCCCCTTAAAGGGGTCTGTCACTTACCAGGATTCTTAGCACGTGTCTACTTATCCCTATATTTAGGTGTGATAAATTAAATGAAACATAGAAATGTACACTTCTTTATCCTGCCACTGGGTGCCTCCATTTTAGCTGCCTGTACGTCATTATTACACCTGGCAGTCAGCACAGAGAAAGCAGAACTAGAAGAGAATAAATTAAACAATGTTTCTATCTGTCCTCCTCATTTGCATTGTTTGCCCTGGGTTTGAGATGCTGGGGTCATATAGGACATATAGGAGCTCTAATCTTATAAATGCTGAGGAATGTATTGACTGTATTGTACAAATATCACATTCCATTCACATGAAAACAATCAAGTTCCACAGGGAAGACTAGCTCTGTGCTCATTCCTGTTGCTCTGTTAATTTACTGAATGTTTGTATATTCAGTACGTAAATACCAGGGATTGTCAACCATTTTACCTGCTTCATTAAAGGCACATCCCTTTCCATGCACTATGCACACTGATCAGCCACAACATTAAAACTATAGCTCCAACAAATGTGAGTGCATTTTCCTCCAATTTATCTCATTTCGTTAATTCTCTCAGTACATACTACACCATTGGAAGTCTGTTTGTGTTTTTATCTTTCATATATGGACTCCCTGAAAACTTGGAAGGATTAACCTCTGAGGACTGTACATATACAGCTTATCCACATACCAGTGAGACGTCGTTTATGCATGCTATTGGACTTTTTAAGCCTAATTCTTGATAGTGCATAGACTCTGTTTAACTTTCTTATTGTACTGTTTATATTTTTTTATTATAACTTCTGAAGTTTATCTTTTATTGCATTTTCTACTTATTTTATACATATATATTTTACTCTTTTTAGTGCAGCCCTTTACCCCCTTTTCTTTTTCTCTTACACTATATTAGGGTTCTTGAGGGATCCCCTTTTTAGGGTTGCAGCTTTTATCTCTTGCTTTTAAGTGCAGACTTCTCCTCCCCTATTTCTTTTACAACATTAAAACCACCTGCCTAATATTGTGTAGACCCCCCCTTGTGCTACCAAAACAGCTCTGATGCGTTGAGGCATGAACTCCACAAGACCTCTGAATTTGTCCTGTGGTATCTGGCACCAAGACATTAGCAGCAAATTCTTTAAGCTCAGCAAGTTGGGAAGTGGGACCTCCATGGATTGGATTTATGGTTCCAGCACTACCACAGTTGCTCGATTGGATTGAGATCGGGGGAATGTGGAAGCCAAGGCTACACCTTGAATTCTTTGTCATGTCCATCAAACCATACCTAAACAAGTTTTAAGGGGTGGCAGGGTGCATTATACTGCTGGAAGAGGCCACTGCTATCAGGGATGCCATTGTCATGAAGGAATGTACGTGGCCTGCAACAATTGCTAGGTAGGTGATACATGTGAAAGTAACATTCACATGAATGCATGGACCCAAGCTTTCCCAGCAGGACATTGTCCATAGCATAACACTTCCTCTTATGGCCTGCCTTTTTCCCCATAGTGCGTCTTGCTGCCATCTCTTCCCTGGTTAAACGACACACACTCATCTGGCCAGCCACCTTATCTAAAAGAAAATGTGATTCATCAGTCCAGGCAACCTTCCATTGCTTCATGGATCTCATGCTCACGTCCTTGTTGAAGGCCTTTCCGGCGATGTACTGTGTGTTCTGACACCTTTCTATCATGGCCAGCATTAAGATTCTCAGCAATTTAAGCTACAATTGCTCTGTCGTGTCATCAGACTACACGGGCTATCCTTCACTCTCCATGTGTAACAACGAGCATTGGGCACCCATGATGCAGGCGTTGCACCACTTTTGGTAGGTACTAGCCACTGTAAACCTGGAACACCCCACAAGACTTGCCATTTTGGAGAGGCTCTGTCCCAGTCGTCTATCACTATTTGGCCCTTGTCAAAGTCACTCGGATCTTTTCTTTTGCCCAATTTTCCTGCTTCCAACACATGACATTCAAGAACTGACTCACCTGCTGCCTAATATATCCCACCCGAGCAGCTGCTGTGAGTGTATTACCCATGGAGCCCAGTCTCTAGCAATTTGACCGGCTGAACATCATAGAAAATAAACAGGGTTATTCAATAAAGTGAAAATTCAAAGTTATAATATCTCAATGGGCCACTTTATATGGTGCAGGTTTTTCAGCATCATTATTAGAAGAGAGAGTCATTCAATAACCACATACACAAATCTACAGCTAAACGTGTGAATGTTCTCTGATACAGTGTAACAGTGCTGCAATGGAGCAATTTTAAATGATGAATTAAGATGCCCGAGTGGAGTGCTAATGATGGAGGAGTAAATGAGTGGAGCATGCGTGCTGGCAGACAAAAATTGTTATAGCAATATACTATTGTTATTACATGCATTTATAGCAATAAAAACAAATACATGATTGCAGTCCAGTCTTTATTTTTATCTTACCTATCGTCCAGTCTATATCTGGGAGGTGAGGCTTCGCCACAAACTCTACCTCCTCTTGGATCCTCGGGGGTGGAGCTTGAGGGAGTTGGGGAAGTTGACAAAGTTTCTCTAACAAGACAAAGGACACCACCTCCTCTTCTGGTGTTTCTGTTCTGGGGGTTTGTTCCTTGCTCAGACTTGAACCCCGTCCCCTTCGTGCTCTGGTTTGGGGACGGGGCAAAGGGACAGTGCTTCCGATAGTGATGTAAGAAAATGTTTGCTCATTGGGTGAAGGTGCGGGCCAGAGGTCAGCCTGGGTCACCGTGGGTTCGTCATCAAGTTCAACTGAAAAAACAAACATAAATTATTGTACATAATGGAGTATTAGAAGAATTGTATGTACTAAACTAATTCAATATTTAAAAAGGTATGTGTGTTGCCACCTAGAGCAGTGGGTTTCAACTGTTTGCTCTGGTGAAAATTCTGTTGTGTGTATCGTTGATCTTAATCACCCTTATGTCTATCGATGTCACATGGGAGTGGGCAGGTTACCCAACATAATACCCGACCACCAAAGATTCACTCACTGCTTCCTGCAAAGTAGGGACTTTCCCACAGTGAGAGACACTACCAATTACCCCTCAAAACAATGCCTGCACTCATTGATTGCAACGAGAGACTCTCTGCTAATCAGGGGCGGACTGACAACTCACAGGGCCCTCGGGCAATGGGAGACCATGGGTCCCCTTCTGGTGCAAAGCTTATTGGCTACTGCTACTTTTCTCCCCCTTCTATGTGTGGCTCTCACACAGATATTATATGAATGCTGCCAAGCACGCATAATGGCTGTGTGAGAACCACGGCCTCCAAACAGGGTTTTGCTTTAAGGAAGTTAATCCAACCAAAAACAGTGTTTTAATAAAACACTTGTTTTTGAATGGAGTAACCCTGACTGGCATGCCTCGACCCCCCCCATCCCCACTAAAATAAAGAAATAAAGTCAATGTAATTACACGCTTTCTCTGTTTGCTGGTGACATCACGTCCCCCACATTTGTTTTCAATCATACCAGTCCATGTAAGTAGCCTCCAAACATGTGATTGTAGGCTACTTGTGAGGTTCAGTGTGTGGGATGCTGCTTGTGTTGTTGTGTTCCTGTATGTCAACGTGTTGTGTTAGAATTGTTTGTCTACTTACCTATTGTACTGCGCTGTAGAATATGTTGGTGCTATATAAATGGTTGTAATAATTGTGTGTGTGTGTGTGTAAGGATGCTGTGTGCAGTATTGCAATGGTGGGGATGCTGCTTGTGGTAAGTGTCCGTAGGGAGGCTGCATGTGGTTTTCCATATGTGGGGATGCTGCTTGTTGGACTGTGTGCATACAGTGAGTCTCCTGGTGGGTTTGCGTGTGTGTGTATGAGGCTGTTTGCAGGGTAGTATGTGGGTGTAGATGGCTAGTTGTGTTGCAGTGTGTGGTAGGGGCTGTTGTATGCTGTAGTAGGCGTCTGGGGGATACTGGGGCTGTTGTTTGTGTTTCCCTGAGGAAAGTTCACAGTTGTGAACCGAAACTTTGACCACTTGGATTAAATGCCTATTTTTTCATGCTGAAGTCCTTGAGTGCTGGCTTTCTTTTTGGAGATATATATATATCTTGATTTACCCTATTCATTTGTGTCTTGGCATTTATTTCTTTGCTGTATTGGTTCCCACATTTAAAGTGACAGTGCTGTTCCAGGGCAGCACCCCTTCATTTCATTACAGATAGGGACTGAGGTAAGTGAAGGGAGAGAAGGGTGCTGAGGTGGGTGGAGGGGAGCATGGGGCTCAGAAGGGAGCTGGGGGAGATGGGAACTGAGGTGGGTGGAGGGGTCATGGGGCTGAGGTGGGTGCTGGGGGCTGAGGTGGGTGAAGGGGAGATGGATGCTAAGATGGGTGCTGGGTAAATGGGGGCTGAGGTAAGTGGAGGGGGCATGGTTCTTAGCCCCATGCTCCCCTCCACCCATCTCAGCACTCATCTCCCCTTCACCTACCTCAGCCCCCATCTCCCCCGGCACCCACCCCCTTTCACCCACCTCTAGAGTTGCTTCCGGGTCTTTAGCAAACTTTTGGTCCTGTAAATGAACCTGGACGTCCTCATGCTTTGCATGGGGACATCCAGCGTCAGCAAAAACTCCATAGGAAAGCATTGATTCAATGTTTTCCTATGGGGAAGTCCTAATGCGATTGCAGCAATCGCCGTGTATGCACATTAGGGCCCCCCGAGCGGTTGTGGAGCTTGACTCAGCGTTGAGGGACATCGACTCTGAAATCAGGTAAGTGACTAAACGATTTGTAACCCTTTCAGTGCTGGGGTGGGCTGCAATGGAGGGGGGTAAACTGAGGGTACTATAGTATTCCCTAGCACTATGCCTTCCCTTTAATAGAGGTAATGTAACGTGTAAGCCATAATGCCAGAGTGTAACAAATTCAGCTATTTTGCCAACATATTGAGGTCCCTTTATTGGAAATACACAGCAAATGACATGAACAACTGAGAAGTTTTTTTTGCTGCTATGACAACAAAAGTAATTAATTCTTTCTCTTTTTACTGCTTGTGTCACATGAGTTCAATCCAGAATTAATATAACCCAGCAAAAATATGAAAATGTATAACATTTAAAATGATTCAATAATTATTTCTGTAGAGGATTTAGGTCAGTGGTAGTCAACCTTTTTCTACCTACCGCCCACTAATGCATCTTTTTTTTTTTTTTTTTATTTTTGTTGTGCATGTTTTAACAACGAGCGTGTGTTGCCACAACAGCAGTTACACGCAAAATCATACATTTTCAAACATGGCAAGTAATATGTCTGCACATTTTTATATATTATAAAACAGAAGTGATATGCATACGGCATAGAAACATGTTTGATCTATCTGTGCTAACAATAGGAGGAGCAGGTAATAGTCGCTTAACGGGTAGCACATTGCAAAATATAAGATATGAAACTGTTAGAGATTAGTCACACATTGTATTTATATGATCTCTAGAACACATTGTAGACAAGGTGGAGTCAGCAGCTAATGCTTAGATTGTAAAGGCAAACAGGACATGTCCCTGCTTCCCTATCTACATGAAATGAGGTTCCACTGGGTGGCCTGGCAGGTGATCTGCTATTGCTAAAGTGGGATTTATAAAGGCACAGGGTGCCAACGCATACTATTTAGCATGTGGTCGTAGTGAGGGGGGGTGTATGTACTACTGCTTTGGGCCCAACCTGGGGGCTTAGTTATGCAGGCCAGGAGTCCCTCAGCCTATGCCTGTTACGGGCATCGGTGGCAGATACTTGCTATGTCCATATAAAGCTCGCTGCTCAGTGGGGCCCCCTGGTTTAGTTCCATCTGTGGTGTTTCTGTGTGAGGCGTCCTTCTGTACAGCCACGTGGTGCTCAGCCATCTTCTCCGGGCGTAGAGTTGTGAGTAGGTGGTGTGGCTGCAGGGATGGCTCGTTGATCCAGCTGCTGTGTGCATGGGTGCGAGTGTGTGGGTTCCGGCAGCCTGGTACTATGGTCCGCCATGACGGTTTTTGGCGCCTTCGTGGCCGTTTAGATGGCCTGTTGGCTTGGAGTGGGTATCTGTAATGGCGTCTGCGGGTCACAGGGCGGATCCATAAGGCGATCGTTCTGGCTGCTTGGTTGCAGGACACTCCGCGGTGGCGAAGTAGTGTCCAGAGGCCCTTGCAGAGCCTGTCAAAGCCCTCCATGCAGCAAGCTGGTGGTGTGGCGTGTGTGCCCGCCAATCTTGGCTTCTGCTTGGCGGCCATGTTGTGTGTACCTCGGTGGTCCAGCGTTCCTGCCGGCGATGTAGCCAAGGGGCTGATCAGCCTGCCTGGTCTGTCTGTCCAGTGGGGACCGGGATATCCCCCACCGGTCCAAAGGGGGGGGGTTGGAGACCTGCTTGGTTGCTTAGGGGGTCCGGTGTCGGAGAGAGCGGCCGCCTCTCCCCGGCTCCGGCTTCTGTAGGCCGCGCTTGGTGTCCCGCTTTTATAGCTCCTACGGGCTCAAAAAAAAAAAATTATCGTTTGGTTCAGGGGTGCACCCCCGACGTGGGTGATGCACCCTGGCAGGTCTTTGGGCTATTTAGCCCTAGTTTGTGCCGCTTTTCCTGCCCGTCGAGCAGGAGCTCGTGTCCCCTGCTTCTGCTCCGTTCGGCGGTCAGACTCCGCCCCCATGCATCTTTTTTTATTTAAAAAATGTCCTTATCGCCCACCAGTTTTCGCGCAAGTGCAGAATATTTTTTCGAAAGGAGGGTGTTTAAAAAAAAATAAATGTACGTACATTTATCTTTTTATTTCTACATAATGCATGTTTATAAAGTTTAATGAGGAAACAATAAAGTAAATTGAAATTACCTTTACTAGTGATTAATGAGATCCTTGAGGTTGATGCTGCGAGACTAAATATTTTATTGTAAGGAAAAAACTAAGGTCTCTTTTTTCGGTGATATTCAGACGATTTCTTGGTTTGCTCATAAAATGATTTCTCATCTGTGCATCAGCTCCCCTCCTCTCCCTCCTCAATTCCCCTCCCCACCCTTTTTTTTCTTCCTTTTTTCTATTTTTTAACCTTCCTTATAGCAATGCCCAGTAGGAAGGCTGAGCTAGGTAGCCCACTTACTATTATTAGCCAACAACAATTCTCTCCTTTTCCTCTTTATTTTCATTCTTTCTCCTTTTTTACAAGTACTCTACTCCTTCTTTCTCCTATTCTACAAGTACTCTGCGCCTTCTTTCTCCTTTTTACAAATACTCTGCTCTTTCTTTTATTCTACAAGTACTCTGCTCACAGACAAACACACACACACACACACACACATACACTTACAGAAAAACACACACACATACACTTACAGACACACACTCACTCACAGAGAAAACATTCACACAGACACTTACAGACACTCACACATACACTTACAGACACACACACACTCACAGAGAAAACATTCACACAGACACTTACAGACACTCACACATACACTTACAGACAGATACACATACACTTACAGACACACACACACACACATAAACTTACAGACACACACATATACTTACAGACACACACACATATACTTACAGACACACACATACACACATATACTTACAGACACACATACACTTACACTTACAGACACACACACACATACACACAAATTATTATTAAATGTTCACCCAGCCTTCCTACCTGGAGAGCTGGTTTTGATCTGTCCCTGGGGTCCAGTGGGGCTTCACTTCAGCGGGCGGCAGAGTTCAAAAGCTGCTGAAGTCCCTACCGCCCACCTGGAATCCTGAAACGCCCACTAGTGGACGGTAGGGACCAGGTTGACGACCCATGATTTAGGTATACAAAAATAATAGAGGTGAAACTCTGCCTCAATACTATATGTAGCAGTACAACAGTTCTTAAAGGGCACCTGTCATGCCCTAAACAATTTATCATCATTAGATTAAATTATATCTATACATTGTGCTAGCAGTTTCACTAGAAAATGTACAGATTAGGAGAAAAACCTTTTTAAAAATAGTTTTTTTTTCTCCCAGCTGTCAGGGAGGGCAGTAAGAGCTCCCACGGGAAGTATAGGAATGGAGTGACTAAACAGTGTGCCAGCGTCACTTCTTCCAGAGCAGGGCAAATCAAACAGGTGGAGCAGACGATGGCCCGGAGTTGGGTGTTACACAAAGAGTAACATGCACAAAGCAACACTGTAACAGAGGAAAAGGGAGAGGCCCCACATCCGCTCCAAAAGTAGGGATGTGTGTGCAAGCATGTGTAAATGTGTGTGTGTTAGTGAGTGTGTCTGTGTGTGTGTGTGGGTGGGTGCTGTGGTTTAGTAGAGGGTGCTGTTTTTCTTTTTATACTGTACTTTTCAAAATAAACCTACGTATCTATGAAAATTTACGTTTTGTTTGTTTTTTTGCGGCTCTCGTAAACTTAAACCTTGTTTATGTGGCCCGTGCTAGACTTTGAGTTTGACATGCATGGTGTACACTGAATGCATCATCTATCTCTGTGATATATGATGTATTCAATGTTTATAGGAGCGATTTCAGGTAAGCAAAAATTTGCACTACAGGTTCACTTTAAAAGTACCCTTAACGGGGGCGGAGCCTAACCACGGACCCGATCAGACGCCATTTCCAAAAGCTCCTAGGCCTACAACCCTAATCCTGCCGATATCGGCAATACTAAGCACAATCCAGCCACAACACTCACCGAACCGGACCCAGTAGGGCAAGAGGAACCGACTGATGCCTTTTTTCCAGGCATCAAAAACAACGAGGAGGAAGCACAGGCCTGAGGCCTACCGAGCACTCCACAGCCTGGAAGGAATCCTGGGAAGCCTTACCGCGAGCGGAGCAGACATCCCGCAATCCCAGGAACCACCAGCCTCACCAACACCAATGTCAGGCAAAGGTAGGTGCTCTCAAAAGCCCCAAAATCAGGCAGAAGGTCGGGATATAGGGACCATGCTACAGAGGCCCGCCCAACTCAGGCCCACTCCCGCGGAAGATGTGCAAGTTAGGGACATGGGCACAGCGGCAGACCATGATAGACCTGGGAACTCACAATCTCCGCACACCCCTCAAGCTGAGCAGCATGAACAGCCAGATGACTCAGCACCCACCACAAAGAGGGATTTAAAACTTCTTCTGGCAGAAATTCACAAGTTACTGGCGGCAGACTCCGCACTACTCAAAAGGAGGTACAGGCAGTCACTGCGACAGTTCGCACCTCAGAGGAGGAAATACAGACAGTACAAACCCACCTAACCTCCGTGGATACCTCCATACAAGAGCATCAAGCCCAAATCCAGACCTTGTCACTGAGACTTGCCACCCTGGAAGACTGCCAGAGGCGTACACACATCAAGATCAGAGGCATCCCCTCAGCGGTCACAGCGACAGAACTGCCACACTACATTAGAAGACTGCTGACAACAGTCATGTCTCACACTGTGGCCAAACAAATAAACATAGACAGTGTATTCCGTCTTCCAAGCCCTACTCACCGCACAACAACATTGGCACGAGACGTCATTCTAAGATGCGCCACGCTACCTGACAAGCTTCAAATCATGGCGGCAATAAAAGACAAGACACCACTCACATTCGAGAACTCAAACCTCGCTTTCTTCCAGGATCTCACAAGGGCCACTCTCCAGATCCACAAAAGTTATAAGCCTGTCAGGACCCAGCTGAGAAACGCAGGACTGGCTTACCGCTGGGGAGCGAACGGCTCCTTAGTAGTGACTCAAAACGGGACTACACATACGCTACCGAATCTGGGAGCTGCGCACACTTTTTTGAGCACCCTGGGTATTGAGCACACGACTGCACCTTCAACTCCCGAACACCAGGCGACCTCATGGGACCCCGCTTCCATTCCACCATTCGCCCCGAGAGAGAGGAACCCACGGCCAGAAACACCGTGACTGCAGGGTGCAATCCCCCGAGGACCACCTTTTCAACCCAACTTTATTTCAGTTTGTGTTCATAGTAGATTTACTTGTTTAGAGTGTATTGTACCCTTTCAACCAAAGGTAGCTATACCACACAGCGCCCACACGGGCCTGAGCTCGGCACAGGCAGGGGTAGATTAGGCTGACAAGCATATACACTAACACCAAATGGCGTACTTTTCCAACGCACCCTTCCACCCCCTCCACAGCCCCCTTGGGTCAGGGGCCCACAGCGTGGTGGCATATCCTTTTACCGCAACACTACACTATCAAGAGTGCACATGCTCACGGTTCTCACGATCAGCTACTACCTTTACAACTTGTAACCTGCATGACACATTATATGTTCTATTTTATATTTTCTATATGACAAAATGCCTGTAATCCGCACATCCGAACCTAAACACACACCACCTCAGGGCATAGGTCATAAACAATGCACACAGGGACCGCACTTAGAGCAAACATAAACAGAAACTCATTAGTGAGAGAACTCTACCTAGCAGTCCCTGAACAGAGTCTAAGCATGTACTAAAAATAAAAAATTGGATGCTGTTTCTCAAAGTAATACTAAACTCAATATTGTACATGTAATTGAACCATGCTTTTCCAGTATTCTTGTATCCAATCATACGAAATATACCGATTATCTATTGAAATGTTGTTAAAACGAAGCATCTTGAAAAATAAAGAATTAAAAAAAAAAAAAGTACCCTTAACAATGGGCCCCTAGAAAATAAATGCACAATACATTTTCTATAAGAATATACCCAGTTAATGTAGATATGTCCTATGCCACCAACCATGATCTTTAGTAAACCGCGGCACCTCCCAACATTGCAAATAGTCAAAAATGGACACTTTCATTGTAGTGTTTACAGGTGGCGGTGGGCCAGGGGAGGGGCTATTCTAAGACATTTTAGCTGAGTTTGTGACCTACATATTCGTTTATGTAATTGAAAATGTAATAAAGACTAAGATCAAAGTATCTTATTTACACAGACCCATTGTAGTTTAACCCTTTTAGGAAAATGTGGTCCTGGCACTTTGTCTATCACGAGGGGTTTAAAAAAAAACATTAATGTGAGTTTTATTGGTATGAATCTCTGTTACACACTCAGTCACACCAAAAACCAGAAATTAAATAAACTGCAAATATGTGCACGATACACAGGCCTTATACAATCCCAGATACTTTTGAAGAGTAATTAAGAAACAAAACATGGATTCCACTGGTGATACTGTGTACAAAAAATTATATAGTTACAAATTAAATTCCCCGTATAGATATTTATAGCAATGTAAACTAATTTTAAAAATGCACTTCCTGTTAACCCTGTATCTTTTCTAATCTATTTGACCCCGAAGAACAACACCAACTCAAATGACCCATAATTCTTTTCGGAGATAAGCAGTAGAAGTTAGACGATATTCTGATTATGAAAATGCAGACCCCACTCTAATCTAGAGCAGGGAGGGTCATCCGGTGGATGTTAAGCTGACTAGGGATGATGGGAATTTCAGTCCACCATAATTTGAAAATAAACTCATTGATCAACATTGCCCTGGAATTGTCATAAGTATTATCCCATTCCCACCCATCCCTGCACTACTGCACATGAAGGTGCCATTCATAGTGTGCGTGAGCAAAGTACTTGTATATGTGAAATTCAAGAAGGTTTTTACCATCTGGCGGGCACGAGTCTGGGGTGCTCGATGCTGTTGATGGGGCATCCTCTGTGGGAGAAACAAAAAAATTTAATACATTCTGTATTGATGCATGTATAGAACAAAAGATGCTATTTAACAACACAGTTTATATATAATATATCCAATGAAATGTACTCAATACATAGAAATACCCAATCCACAGATGAGACGTCCCTATAAAGAGTATCACAAAAGTATTATTAAAATATGGTGGCTGTGCTGGGCCAGTTCTAGGAATTTCTGCCCATCCAACAGTGTTACATATATAACAGCCCTGGTTGTCAGGATACAAGGGGCTGACATTAGCCTCCTCACATCATCATCACCTTTTGGGGGTATGCATTGTACTGCAAATTATGTTAATGTTTTATAAATAGACCACCTGTAATCTGGGAATCCCGACCCACCTGTGATTCATGTTACTATGTTACTATACACAGTGCTATATACACAGTAACAATCAGTGTATTCAAATTAACACATCTGTTCATCAAGACACACAGACAAGGCACCTATTTGTTTACATAGCAAAACAGGACTAACACATATGAGTGAAATGTGTCAGGTACACACAGACAAAAAATAATATAACTAACATTAAACACCCATAGTCCGTGTTATAGAAAAGAATATACAGAATATACAGAATTAACACCTATTAAATATAGGTATGGAAATAATTGCAATTAGATAACAATAGAATTTCAAAATGTAGGTCAAAATAGCTGATCTAGGAAAATTAATAGCTAAGCTATTGTAATTTAATCTTGCTGTTCTCTTTTCAATTCACTGACATTCACAGTTTAGCAAATAAATCGTATAAGTATAAAGACAGTAAAAGAAATACTATCTGTACCAATGCAGAGTAATCACTCGTGCCATGAGTGTGCTGATACATATATTCAAAGGGAAATATACATCCACAGTATGCAATGATACAGCTGATAAACACACATTAGCTATGGTTCCACATTGTCCCTTTAATTAGCAGCCCGTATAAAAGACACATCCTTCACGGTTACAATTATTACAAGGCAACCCAGCAACATACATTTCCTATAAGTGATCATATATAAGGTGGCAAATGATTATCTTAGATTAGCATATATACAAATTGAATGTAATGTTTTATTTGCAATATATACATATATACCGAAAATGACAAATATATACAGTGATTATATGTGATGCATATTTTCACACAAACACGCTTCTTCCATACATCCATCAGTGACAGACACAGACATGCAGAGTGCAGACACACCTATATATAGACACACACACACACGATGCACATGTTGGTTTAATGACACAGTAACTGTGACCTAGTCGCACACAAAAGGGATGTTTGGGAACACATGCATGGGTCTCTTGGGGTGGCAATGCCACACTCACACATGCATACAAACAGCGTAAGAAAAACAACATATGATAAAACAATGACCCCCATGGCATAATGTAACAGCAGGTGACACTTACTGCAATGTGTGAATGAGAGGACGTGTCCCATATCCGCCGCCGGCGTGTGACACCCATACAGACCCACAACACAACACAACACACACACAGACACACCGGCTCGCTATCATCTCATCGTGCCACAATGATACATCACACACACAAACACATACAATGAACACACACAGGCAGAGTGAGAGAAGGGAGGAGAGAGAGAGACACAAAGGATAGGGGGAGGGGGAGAGAGTCAGGGAAGAAGAGACTGAAAGGCAGATCCTTGATGGATTTAACCCTCCTCCCTGCCTTGCTCATCAAAGGGCAATTAACCCCAGGGTAGATTAACTAAGAAATCATTACATTTAACCACAGATGGGTTAAGATTCCCCATCAATGCACACATGGGCTTAATTTCCATACAAGATGTAAGCAGGGCCTCATATTGTTTGCAGGGGCCCATTGCAGAGCCCGTACGCTGTCAGGGGCCCTAAGCAGTGACATAGGTTAGCATCCGTTAAAAAAGACAAAGCCAGAAATATTCAAAATGTTGCGAGCCATTTAAGTAACCCTGCAACTATTCTGGGTTGATGAGAGCATGGTGTCATTACAGCGCCATTTGTACTCCTATCATTCCCAGGCACTGAAAGAATGCAGAGACTAGTGAGAGTTACAATCCACAGCATCTTCAGTCTCAATGAATGTTAAGTCAAGTACTATAAGGTTGGGGACCACTTCAGGCTGTAGTCACGGGCACCATTATATGCAGTTTTGCAATCATGCTACTTCTTATGAATGCAACGCCATTTAGCACCCCTGTTACAGACACTAAACATTTTTGAAAATCCCTACATTTATCAATAAATTCTCACTTCTCAAACATATCATATTGTAAAAAAAATAGTCACCCCTCTTATTAAAAAAACCTATGATCTAACCAGTTGCCTCCTAAAGTCTGTAACGTTACCTGGAGTCCACCTGTGCGAGATGAAGAAAAAAAATAAGTCACAGAATCTGGAAGACAACAGAGTGTACTAGAGAGCATATCTAGACGAACAGCATCATGAGGACCGAGGGGCTATCACAACACATCCAGGGCATGCAGGATAATGACACCAAACACAAGAAAGACCCTTCCAGTCAAAGCCCAAACTTCAAAACAACTGAAATCCCAAACTTCAAAACAACATTTTTAAAACACTTGAAAGTTGCTGTCATTGATGGTCCCCATCCGACTTGACAGAACTTGAGTTTTATTATTATTGTGATTTATAAAGCGCCAACATACTCTACAGCGCTGTACACTGAATAGAGACAAATATATACTTAGACTCATAAGAAGGCCAACGGAGACATTGCTATATTACTGATGACACAAATCTTTCCATGGTACTTCATCTCTTACGCAGGCTATATGTGACCATGTTGCCATCCAAACAAGCAAAATCTATTTCAGCATTTTCTGATCAAGGACCACCTTAGGCCATCGTGATAGTCTGCTCTCAAAATAACCAGGACACAACTCTGCTCATGTCTTCCATCAGGGGAAAAATCACCCTTCAAGTTTAAACACAAGAACTTTTCGTGTTCCTTGACCTTAAATGGAACACTCTAACCTGTTGTACATCCTTATGGCCTATGGAGATGGTTTGTTGGATCTAAAACTCCAATACCGCCGGTGCAGCCCAAGATTGCTCTTGATCCATCAAGTTGGTAGTGGCTCTATAAAGGAGCTGAAAACACTATAAACCCACCACATTCATTCGTGGTTCTCTGTTACCAAGAGTTTTGGATATTGCAATAACCTGAAAACATGATTTCTTCATGCCCAAGACTAGACATAACATGTACTATTTTTTGCCAGTTGTGTGTCTGCGTTTTTTTTAAAAATCTATTTCTTTTGATTCACATGGTCTCCCTCTAGATCAGAAAACGTATTATGATTATTATGATGTTATTGTTTATTTCTGATGTTTGCGTCTACATACTACCCTAGCTAATGCTTGGAAACTCAGTTGCCAATAGAGTTTTTATTCTACACCGAGGGGAGGATGGCTATCTGCCCAGAACAGGTTACGACTATCAATAGCAGAGTTCATTTGAATAGTCTTGTGCATCCCCAGAGGTAGTTATTGAGTCCCTTTGTCTGTTTTACTTTAGCTGTATGTTTTTGTGGTGTATGTGGTCCACAATAATCTCTAGGTAGCTGGTACGTGTCAACGTAACATGAATGCCAGGACCCAAAGAAAACAAGCAGAACATTGTCCAGAGCAAAATATTGCCTCCACCAGGCTGCCTTCCTACCACAGCGCATCCTGCTGTCATCTATTCTGTAGGTAGACGACCAACACACACCCGGCCAACCACCTAAACTAAAAGAAAATGTGATTCATCAGACCAGGCCAGTTCTGACGGTCACGTCCCCAGTGAAGGTGGTTTCGGTGGTGGACAGGGGTCATCAAGGGCACTCTGACCAGTCTGTGACTAAACAACCCCCTATGCATTAAACTGCGATGCACTGAGTATTCTGACACTTTTCTGTCACGACCAGAATTACGTTTTTCAGCAATTTCAACTACAGTATCTCTACTGTGTAATTGGACCAGACTTTCATGCCTGTGCTCCTCACGTGTATCAATGAGCCTTGGGCGCCCATGACCCTGATGCCGGTTCACCAGCGGTCCTTCCTTGCACCGGTTTTGGTCAGAACTAACCACTGCACACCATATTTGCCGCTTTGGAAATGTTCTAATCCAGTTATTTGGCCATTGTCACTTCTTTTCACTTGCCATTTTTTCCTGCTTCCAACACAAGAAATTTAAGAATGGACTGTTCTCTTCCTGCCTAATACATCCTACCCCTTGACAGGTGCCTTTGTAACGATCAATGTTATTCACTTCACCTGTCAGTGGTTTTCTGGCTGATCTGTGTATTCACTATATGACATGTGAGATGCTATAGTGCATTGATATCTCTTTGACAAAATGGACAAATAAGTTTTGGATTTATTCACCAAACAACAAACTGTAGTGAATTGAAAGTAAAATACAAAATTTTGCTGATATAAAAAAAAAAACACCTTAGTGCTCGGATGTTTAACTTTTTCCTGGCTCTAGAGTGTGCATACGTTACCTGCTATGACCTCTTAAACCAGATCAGGATTATAAGCAGTGACATGCCTTCCTCATCAATGTCATTCCACAGTGTGCGTACAACAGTCACAATTTCACAATCTGGATTTTAACATGGATTATTAACCCCTTCAATACCAAGTGATTTGTAGCAATTTGTAAAACCTAAAGTAAGCATCAGTAGTGTATAAGCCATGGGCTGCCCCCCTCCCCCCCCCTTTTTGTCGGAGCAGGCACCTGCCTGTCTGTGATGGTTGCTGCGCTGCAAGTGGCTGCTCTGCAGATTCAAATGAGCAGACCTCGCGGGCGACATGGGAGCTGCTGGGTTCAATCTGTGCTCTGATTGGACAGCTCACTCGCCATCAGTACAGAGCTACAGAGTCCAGGAGCTGGGCATTCAGTTGCACATGCACAATAGCCTGCCAGTGCTTTCCTATTTCTAATCTTGATAATCTCAGCTATGGAGCTGTGACCAGACAAAGCCAGCCATGGTGAGACCAGCATGGCATGGGGGAAAAAGGTAAGTAATATCCAATGCGATTGGAGGGGGCTGGTAACCTAAATAGTTAGTTAAACACTATAGTGTTCCTTTAAGTTAAGGTTATACTTGTATTGAGAAAGACGTTTTTTGGATATAATTTTGTGCAATATTTTATGTGAATAATTGGTTTTGTTATGATATTTAGTTGTTTGTAATTTTTTGCTTCATATGCTTTTCAACTTGCCCGCAACCTGTTGCCATGGCTACCGAGATGTTTATTTGTTTTTTTGTTGTCTTACCTTATCACATGATGTTTGGCTCTTACTCGACGCAGCAGGTTTGAGCCTGTTCCTAATGTCCTCTTGCAGCGCCTTGACCCCTGCCTCTGATGTCATCTTTTGCCGCTCGTGCCTTATGTTATTTTGATGCACATGTTGGCGCAGTTTGTCTTTGATGGCCCTGGTCCTGGTTAATTAGAAGGCACAGTAATGAATTATCTTTTGATTATTATGATTATTATGTTTAATTATGTGTATTATAAATATTGCACTTGTTCACTGAGGTGTCAACTTGATAAAGACCTCAGTATGAGGTTGAAACGTTGCTGCTTGTAATATGTACTATGTTTCATTAAAACTGCCTTATTTCATCCTGGACCTCTTGTATTTTGGATTGTCTTAGAATGGTATGCCATCCCCGGTCCGGATTTTTACCTTTTGGTCATAAGAAGTGTTCCTGTCTTCTGGTTAAACCAGTGACAGAAGGACAGAAGTATGGTGAGTAACTTTAACCTTGTGCGACCTTTACATTGACCTAACCAACCTATCTGACTCATCTGGATTGAGACTACTTACTCCAGGGCCAACCTTTGGCCTTACTTGAACCTACTAAGAATGGCCTGACTTTTGTGCACATCTGGCTCCCTTTTTATATAATCTAATTGTTCATCGCAACACTGCCACCTTGAGTTTATTTGTGACATCTAGAATGATAAGCTAGAATGATTCTCTTTTTTAAAAGAAAATTGTACCACCTATAACACGCTCACTAGCACAGTGTACTAAAGCCAACATTTGCGGACTACGTTCATAATGGCACACCAAGTGCTGTGGACTTTGTTCACTGCTAGCTCAGCAGCATGGGAACTGTAGTCCAAAAAAGTTGTGCTACAGAGTGCTACAAATGTTCTCACATTTTAAACAAAGAAAAATATATCTGTCTCATTTTTGGGGGAGTGGGGTGGAGCAGAAAACAAAGACAGATCACATAATTAAAATTATTTTTCTGGAAATTAGGGTTGTTTTGTAGTATTTTATTCTAGTCCCAATGCTGTTGACTGCAGACACATAATCATTCTCAGCCAGCCACATCCAAGCTCTGAGAATGATTGCAGTTGCAGTACACAGCATAGTTAGCCATGGATAGGGATGCACACAACATGCTGAG